GAGACACATGAAAAGATGCTCCACATCGCTAATTATCAGAGAAATGCAAATTAAAACTACAATGAGGTATCACCTCACACCAGTAAGGATAGCTGCCATCCAAAAGACAAACAACAACAAATGTTGGCGAGGCTGTGGAGAAAGGGGAACCCTCCTACACTGCTGGTGGGAATGTAAATTAGTTCAACCATTGTGGAAAGCAGTATGGAGGTGCATCAAAATGCTCAAAACAGACCTACCATTTGACCCAGGAATTCCACTCCTAGGAATTTACCCTAAGAACGCAGCAATCAAGTTTGAGAAAGACAGATGCACCCCTATGTTTATCGCAGCACTATTTACAATAGCCAAGAATTGGAAGCAACCTAAATGTCCATCGGTAGATGAATGGATAAAGAAGATGTGGTACATATACACAATGGAATACTACTCAGCCATAAGAAGTGGAAAAATCCAACCATTTGCAGCAACATGGATGGAGCTGGAGAGTATTATGCTCAGTGAAATAAGCCAAGCGGAGAAAGAGAAATACCAAATGATTTCACTCATCTGAGGAGTATAGGAACAAAGGAAAAACTGAAGGAACAAAACAGCAGCAGAATTACAGAACCCAAAAATGGACTAACAGGTACCAAAGGGAAAGGAACTGGGGAGGATGGGTGGGCAGGGAGGGATAAGGGGGGGGAAGAAGAAGGGGGGTATTAAGATTAGCATGCATGGGGGGGAGGGAGAAAGGGGAGGGTGGGCTGCACAACACAGAGAGGACAAGTAGTGACTCTACAACATTTTGCTAAGCTGATGGACAGTAACCGTAATGTGGTTGTTAGGGGGGACCTGATATAGGGGAGAGCATAGTAAACATAGTATTCTTCAGGTAAGTGTAGATTAAAAATTTAAAAAAAAAAAAGAAAGAAAGAAAGAAAAGGGGGATTACTCCTTAACAGGATAAAACTATTGGTAAATCAAAGATCAACGCATGCTTTAAATATCCTTAATGTTGATCACTTAAAGGGTGTCAGATGATCAGCTATGGAGGTACTCTTTTCTGATAATATTCCTTTCTCTTAATAAAAAAAAAAAAAAAAAGCAGTTACTGTGTGCTGACCTCCAATGAGTTCTGCACAGTGGTATAGAGGGCATGTCAAAGTGTGGGCAAAGGGTCTGTTTGTTTCTACGCAGAAGATCAAGGCCTAGCTTGGATACCCAGAAAATGAACTAAGATACGATATGAGGAGGAGCTTCCGGCATCAGCACTCTCTGGAGGACTCGTGCCGGGGGATGATCATCAAAAAGCCTCCACAGGGATCCGGACGATGCTGCGGTTGTGGCTGCATCCAGCCCACCGTCTCCTGGACTTGCCATAAGAATGAGGAGGGAGATGTCTAGGCTGGCATGTGCATACAGTGAGACAACGAATTTGACCGGATCTGTACTGTTGGAACTCAACCAGGAGTTGGGAGGGGTGCAAGTTGTAGCACTCCAAAATCTCATGACTATAGACTATCTATGGTTAAAAGAACATATGGGATGTGAACAGATCCCAGAAATGGGCTGCTTTAATTTGTCTGATGGTTCAAGTACAGTTGGACAATATCCATCATATCATAGATAAATTTTCACAAATGCCTAGGGTGCCTAAATGGTTTTCTTGGCTTCACTGGAGATGGATGGTAATTATAGATTTGCTTTGTTTATGTCACCGTATTCCTATTATGTTAATATGTGTGTGCAAATTAGTTAGTAGTTTAAAACCTATACATACTTAAGGTACTATACAAGAAGATATGTCAAAGAAATAATCAATCCTCCCAAGTTTCCTTCATATGCTACATCTATAGCTTTTCTTCTTCCTTCCTAATTACAACCCTTAAATAGAATTCGTGCCTCATATCGAATTTACCGAGTATCATAATTCCTCCAGGTGGTAAAGATACCTCGAGACAAGTGCTGGGCATAGAAGCCACAGGGCATAAATCTGCAAAGAAGTAAAAAGCTAACCTTTTCAAACAATATGGCTTCTCTCTCACTTACCAACTTTACATTTCCCTGTATGGCCCCGGAAGATGACTGGTTAGCCAGAGACGGGTAAGATTCCTCAAGGGAGGAACAACCTAAGACAGGCACAGTCGCAGGGGGGCCATCAGGTGAGAAACTGGGCATCAAGAGTGGTGAGGCTTAGAACCTCACCCCGCCTGTGTTGAGAGAAATCTTCTGCATCCATTGATGTTTTAATGCCCTTGTCTAGCTTGGATTAACACATAGTCTACAGGTACACACCTGATCATCTACAATTGCTCTCTTACAACACTAAACTATGTTTTCTACCTTTATCTTGCATCTACCTACCACTTCAGCATTTTATTAAAAATAAAAATGATAATAATAATAAAGGGAGAAATGTGGGATCCACATATAAATCAAGTATAAAAATCAAACGAATATTTTTATTTCACTTGATTGTTTATAGTTCATAATGCGTGATCAAAACAGAAAGTTTCTGTGATGACTGCCCTTGTACTGTTCACCATGTAAGAACTTATTCACTATGTACGAATTTGTTCACCATGTAAGAACTTGTTCATTATGCTTCAGAAGATTGGAGACTGACAAGAATTAGGCTTGAGATGGATTAATGATTGTGCATTGAGCATTGCCTCCCCTATACAGAATTTTACTGTTGTTAACAACCATTTGATCAATAAATATGAGAGATGCCCTCCCCCCCAAAAAAAAAACCTAAACTAAACTTCTATTAGAAGTTGTATATATACAAGTAAAATAGAATTATTGGAAAGATAGTGGGCATGGAAGTAAGAATAAAAAATGAGGGAAAGATCTTGAGCAGAGGTTGGCCTTACAAGGGGGAAGCCCTCTTCGTCTGAGGCTACAGAAAAAAATCCACAAAGTGCATGCAGAAAGATACCTCGAACTATCCACCTATTAAGAGTGGTGTGGGTGGAGGGAGATCAGGGGATCCAAAGAGAGTGCAGAATTGAGATCATTCCTCTTGGGTAGCATGAGCAGGGGATGCGTTTAAAGATTACAAGGAATAAGGGTTCAGCAGACATTGGACACTTGTCATGAGGTAAGGCGCCAAAGCAGCCATAGTACAGTATGTAGCCCCTGTCTGAATTAGCATGCAGAACAGATTAGGTCCTATTCTCTTGTGAAAAGTTTATTCAATGAAACGGCTATGGGGAGGTAGGCTGTTCTCAGTGAAAGGAAGTAGGTCAAATCAGTCACTAGGGGACAGTCTAAATAATGTTCCCTGGAGAGGAAGAGGTGGAGGAAATTCCAGCACTGAATGGAGAGTGGGAAGAGGTAACTTACAATCCTCTTGACCCAAAGATTTTATAAGTCTGTTATCCAAAAATTCTTAAAATTTTCATATTGTTATAGGCACAATCTTAACTCTCTATAATTAACCTCTTCAGAACAGAGATTACACTTTCCAGCTCTTCTCAGAGTATGTGATGCAGTAATATACAATATGACCTTGCCAAATATATCAAAAGAGTACATTTGTGTTTCTGGAGTTCATACTATGAGTCAACAGGTCCTTATATTCACCTGGAAATGGATTCAAGACAGATGATCTAATATAGAGATACTGTAGTTCTGCTGAATAATGTGAAACTCCAGTGCAATTGGATACTTTGAGAAGCCCTCTTACAGCCTTCACAGCACTGAGTGCTGGGTTTGCATGTCTGCTTTGCCAATTATTAGCAATGTAACCTTGGCTGGGTTACTTCATCTCTTACTTTCCTCAGCCATAAAATTAATAATAATACCTGCCTACTAGGGTTTTCATATGGTTAAAAAAAGTAATTTATGTAAACATCATTTATGTCCCAATCTTCTCATCTTTGGACACTCCCAGTCTATTGCCTTGTATCATGGATACCCTATACTGCTTATCCTCGTATTAGAGTTTATAACCCCTTAGAGTGGCTCTGTAGTTTACTTTCCTGATATTGCCAATAACCCCCAGAACACTGTCTTTCCAGAGGAGAGAGCTTCAACAAATATTAAGTTCGCTATTAATAATAAAAAGGAAAAACAGAGAAAGCAAATCCTCTTAAGAAAAGCAACATTATTTGCTCCCTTAAATGAAACTTCAGTCAAACAAAATACTGGATGAAAGTCATAACATCTACAACTGAACCTTTTAATGTCTCAAAATAAGATAAAAACAGAAATCCAACTCAGAAGAAACTGGATGAGAAATAGCACTTAAAATATTGACAAAACATTTTGAAACCAAAAGTTTCTGAATACTGAAGATGCAAATCACTACCTAACCATGTCAGAACTACATGTTATGGAGAATGAAATTCAGACAGCATATCTCTTCTTATTTACCTAAATTCTAGCTCTTAATTTGCATTGTACCTGTTGTCTTGACCATATATTTCAACAAGGCACCCATATTACCAATTGGCATTAAGAATTAAATCTAAATTTTCTACACTTCATGAGCTGGTATGAGGCCTGAAGGCTAACTAATTAAAATTATTACTTAAAACTCCCTTCCTAAAAAGTTAATTTTAGAGCACAGATTGCTACTTTAAGATATTTCCAGGAAAAGGCTCAAATAATTTACCTCCTACAATGTAGCAAAATCTCTAAACAGCAGTCCTGAAAGGTGTCTATGCAATTTGCAATATAAAGAATCTGTTATCTATTAACCACCTACCATGTACACCTTTCTCTCATTTAACCCTCACATTATCATCTGAAGTAAGAGATTTCATTGTCCCCATTACAGATGAAGAATCAGTGGTTCATAGAGGTTAAGTAACTAACCCAAGGACACACATCTATTGAGTAAAAGTGGCTAGACTGTAGGACTTCTACCATGCTGCCCATCTGTAAATAAGACTCACAGAAGACATGTCAGGAAGTCATACCAGACAACATATCAAGAAACAGACAAAGTACTGAAATGTACATGACTTTCATTATACAGTCAACAGTTTCTGAAGTAGTACAATACTCACGATTTTAAAAATGCTGCATCTTTCAAGCAAATCTAAAAAATTGAGGAAGATACATTATAAAGGCTGGTATTGATAGAACTAATACTACTAAGCTAGGTTCTTATTGACTCTCCTAAACCACAGGCTTTACCTAAGTCTTATTCATTCATTAAGCAAAAAAGTTCTGAGCATAATTTCTAAGGCACTATTTTATAGATAATATCTAAGAATGAGTAAGTGGAAGGTCTCGCTTACTGTGACCCTGAACAGTCTCAGCCTGAAGAACAAGGGCTTAATGAGACTGGAACTAAGTGTCCTCCATTCCCATCCTCCAGTAACAGAGATGATGCACTGGTCCACAAAACCCTTTCCCCTGCCTGCCTCCCTCCCCCTATTCATTGACTAAGAGTTACTGACCAAATGCTCCCTCCCAGGGAAGGCTTCCCCCTTCATCTGCCAGGAAAGAGAGGTAGAAATACCTAACTAGTTTGGAGCACAAGGGTTCTTTGCTTCCTTTGGTCATAGTTCCTCTCTGAGAATCTAAAGTAGACTTTTTTCCCATAAAAATCTGCACTCTTGAAGAAAATTAAATAAATTCCAGCGAATTTTACAACATCCAAGGTCCCAGGTTGAGAGCCATAGAGAAACAAATGGATACCTCATAGGTAGTTAGCAGCACATGAAAATGTGACTCTTGTTTTAGGTCTTGCTGTAGGTGGGCTCTCTCCTCCTTGTCACCAGCATATGTTACACAAGAAAGCCCTGGAGCAAATCTGAATTAAAAAAAAGAGGTAGATGAACACAAATGCAGAGCCATGGGAAAGGGTATGCATATCTGGAAAACCACACTTCATGGAAGGATTACAGATGTGCACACCTCATGATGCCCTGCAACCAAAAAGAGTTCTGGGACTCTGGAATCTTATCTAGAGTACTGGGTAAACCTAAGTGTAAGTTCCTGTGTGAATAGATGGAGGGGTTGGATGAACATCTAAAAGGGCCTTGTGCTAACTCTAAAAACTTTTTTTTCATGTTGGGTACTTCCATGTTGTTACTATGAAAAAGATGGTTTCTACTTTAGTTCAGCAAAATTTACTGAGCATTGACCGTCAAATTACCAAATAATAACATAACATCCATTGGACTCTCCCCATATCAGATCCTCAGTCTGTCTACATTGCCTCAGGTCATTTTCTAAAGCAATAAACTCACTGCTTAGGACAATTAAGTTGCTTTATCACCCAGAAAAAAACTTCAATCAATATTAAAGAATAAAATTTCAGCTATTACTCTATACCTCTCCATCTCTTCTTTCCAGTTGCTCAAAACAGACAAGGGACAGAGAATCAAAAATGGTCCTTCATCATTTAATCTTCCTGCCAAGTAAATGAGAAAAGCAATCGTCTGGAACACAGAAAAAGAAGACAGTTTTAATCACATTTCCACATAAGAAACAACCACAACCTTGTAGGAAACACAAACTTATAAGAGATTTAGTTTACAAACAGAAGTACAATCTTCCACACATTATTCGTCCATTCCTAAAGTAAAATTGAGTAAGCCTCAATATAATTGCCAAATAAATTTAAGTACTCAATTACTCAACAGTTAACAGGAAATGGGGCCCAATATATACGTAATTGAACCTCTAATGCAAAGTAAAAAATCAGGAGAGATAATGGAAATAAATTAAAACAATGCAAATAATGCACAAGATCAGGAATACTCTGAAAACATAAGGTGGTATCAAGGCATGACTGTAAGCATGGCCAACTAACCATATGGGGCCTCTGCTACTTACCAGGCTCTCCTGAGAGGTTTCCCTTCCTTCCCAACTTCCTCCCTCCTATCCCTAATGTTTTCCTTCCTTGCACATGCATTTATAGAGCAACTTCGTTTTGCTACGCACTGTTCTAAGCACCAGTATGTAACAGTGAACAAAAAGATGAAACACCTAGCTCTCCTGGAGCATACTTCTAGTGAGGAAAGCAAACAGTAAATAATGCCTCATATTTAAGTAGGAGTATAACATGAAAAGCCAAATAGGCATACCTTAGAATATGACTGGACACACTTGTGACTAGAAATGTTTCTTTAAAAGGATGCTGTGATACACAAAGAGAACAGCCTTCTTTTATATAACAAAATGTTTAAGGGGCCCCCAGTCCAAAATGGTGAACCATTTCTGACAAAATCCATACTAAAGATATAATCCAAAATCCTGAGAAAGATACATGACTAAAGATGTTCACATTGAGGTTAATCTAAATAGCACAAAAAAGAGAGGAACTTACCATTCCTCATCTATAGAACATTTAATTATGATAAATTGTCTTGACGGAATGTTATCCAGCCAGTAGAAAATACTGATTGTGAAGAACATAATAAAATGGAGAATTACAATGACAATGTTAAATTAATAAAATACAAGCTATGTGTGCACTATAATTGCAACTATTTAAAACATACATTGCTATCCACGGTTATAATTAGAGTGCAGTAGTTATGGTATGGCAGTTATTTCTTAATTGATAGTAATTCTAAAATGGAAATAATTTTCTTTTTTAACTGTCCATTGCTTCCCAGGCCAGACTGTGTCCAGAGCAATCACTCAATAATAACTTGCTGGATTAAGACCATTATGTTTCACTTTCACTGAGGATACTCTTCAGAGAAAATATATCTTAATTACCAAAACTAGATATATCTACAAAATTAATTTGGACTCGTTACTAAATTCTACCATTAAAGGAAGAAACAATACCAATTCTACACAAACTCTTCTGGAAAACTGAAGACAAGAGAATACTCCTGAACTCATTCTATGAGTCCAGCTTTACCACAATACCAAAACCAGACAAAGACATTGTAAGAGAAGGAAACAACAGACATACGGGTCCTTCATGAACACAGATGCAAAAAAATTCTATGGTGAATTCATAAGAAGATGAATTTGTTGATATAATATTTTCAGGACACTTACAGTAGAGCTATATGAACACCTGAGGAAAAGCAAAGGCCAAGTGGGATTTGCTGACTCATAATGATATCAGGGCAATTCCAGGGTCCGTGACAAAGGAGACTGCAGGGAGTGCTGTGTACCCTGTCCAAGAGTATGTTTGCCTGGCTCCCAGAGACATATGGGAATCTTACCTTTTACCTAGTTCCACGTTTTCAGTTCAGGAATGTACCAGACCCAGGATTATTTGCCTGAGGGCCATAAATGACGGCCCTTGAGGGAACCATACTGAGAGGTCATATGTATTCTGAATATCCCCAAGATTAGTAAGGTAGACCCACCTTAGACAAAGTAGTGTCAGACTGGCCTATGTGCAGAACTGCTCCAGCTCGACGTTTACATATGTGAGATTAGACTTGGAAGGGGTAGTTGAGCTTCTTAAGAGACAAATGGAACCTTCATTCATTCTGTGTGTTCAGTGGTAAAACCTTTTTGGAATAAAGAACTTATATATCCATGGTTTCTGATCAAGTTGCCTCTGCTCTGTATCCTGACTCCACTGACTTTCTTTGATATCCAACAGATGAGTCCACTTCGTGTGACTAAACCAAATAAACCAAGAGGTATCTGTACCTGAACTTCCCATCAATCCAAGCCTACCATTGACATCTGTCAATACAGGGCTGTACTGGCAGTCGTCCTGCCAGAAGCATCAATCTCAACATGCCACTAGCTCACCAATGCCCGAGAAAGCCATGCCTGGTCCTCCGGGTGTCTAGACCATGTCCTACCACTAGCCAAAGCATCCTGGAAAAGATAGAGTACTTCTGCACTTCTTTAGCTTGGCAGAAAAATGGGAAGTAGCCCCACCACCCACTAAGGGAAAATAATATAAGAAGTGATCCAGTTAACTAGATAAACAATTGCTAAGGAAGGTAGAATCAATCTGATCCCTGGGACAGGTTTATTTCCTTTACAGAGAAAAAACATACCCATTAACAAGTCTATGTCAAGGGCTAAATAAGATAAAGGTAGTGACACAGTTCAAAACCATCCCCTTAACTAGAAAAATCAACTCCAAGGTCGTGATCTCTTAACAAAGGTTCAGAAATTTCACCTTCTACTATACAAACACATACTGGTAGCTAGTAGCTAAAGATAGTAATGAGTTCTAAGGAGGCATTTCAGTGGAGGTGAACAGTGGTTGCTCCACAGTAACATACCTGGCAGGTCTTACCCAGCCCCATCTCATCTCCCAGGATGCAGCCATTCTGACAGTGGAAGCACTGGGCTAGCCAGTTCACTCCCTCCAGTTGGTAAGAATGTAGACAAATCCCTAGAAATAAAAAATACAGCAGGTCTGAAGAGTAGACATTTCAGCACACACATAAGACCTCAACTGAAGAATACTGCCTAAATCCCCATGCCTCCAAAGCTTACTGGCTATATACTTTGCTGGAAAGTTACAGGTATGTACACATTTGCTGACTTCCAAACTTAGTCACTATTGTATTTGCAAAAATTAATAAAGGGAAACCTCACTGATAGGGCACTGAGGGGCCCAAAGGGGGAGCTCTCTCACCCACCACTCCTTGTCAATTGCAGATCCCACCAGAAGAGTTCCATACCTTCCAAGTTATAGTGTTTCGGCTACTTTACTACCCGGCAAAAGGTAGGAAGATTTCCACCTCCTCCAGCAACAGCCCAGCCAATGAGAGACTGCCACAACTTAGCCAATGAGAAGTCAACATATATGGGACTCCCAGTTCCCTCTAATGGGCTTTATGCTTAGAGAGCCTCCCAACTTAGCCCTTTCCTCTATGAAAAAACATTCCTCATCTTTGTTCTCTGGACTCACCTGCTGCTTTCCTGTAGGCTTGCATGTCCTAAATTGCAATTATCTGCTATTCCTGAATAAGCCATTTTTGCAGGTAAAACCAGTGAAACTTTATTTTTAAGGTTAACATATTCAAAGCCCTAGAACAGCCTGTCTATGCTAGGGCCACCTGACAGATGAGTAAGTCAACCTGGAGCTGGCCTTCATAGTGCCTGAGCCTCATGCCAGCATCCATTCTAGGATATGAAGCATTACTGATGTAACATAACCACAAACATGGACTGCACAGCTTGCTTTACTGAAACCATTTAATTTGCCATCAGTGCTACAGGAAGAAAACTCAAGAAAAGGATAGGTTAAATTATGCTTAGGTAGAGGCCCAAAGTCAGCAGAAGGAGGGACATGATAAAGATCAGAGAAATAAATAAAATTGAGAAGAATAAAACAATAGAAAAAAAATAAATGAAACCAAGAGCTGGTTCTTTGAGAAAATAAACAAAATAGATAAGCCCCTAGCCAGACTTATTAAGAGAAAAAGAGAGTCTATACACATAAACAGAATCAGAAATGGAAAAGGAAAAATTACGACAGATCCCACAAAGAATTATTAGAGAATACCATGAGAATCTATATGCTAACAAGTTGGAAAACCTAGAAGAAATGGACAACTTCCTAGAAAAATACAACCTTCCAAGACTAACCAAGAAGAAACAGAAAATCTAAACAAACCAATTACCAGCAAAGAAATTGAATCGGTAATCAAAAAACAACCCAAGAACAAAACCCCAGGGCTGGACGGATTTACCTCGGAATTTTATCAGACACACAGAGAAGACATAATACCCATTCTCCTTAAAGTTTTCCAGAAAATAGAAGAGGAGGGAATACTCCCAAACTCATTCTATGAAGCCAACATCACCCTAATACCAAAACCAGGCAAAGACCCCATAAAAAAAGAAAATTACAGACCAATATCCCTGATGAATGTAGATGCAAAAAAACTCAACAAAATTAATAGCAAACCGAATTCAAAAATACATCAAAAGGATCATACACCATGACCAAGTGGGATTCATCCCAGAGATGTAATGATGGTACAACATTCGAAAATCCATCAACATCATCCACTACATAAATAAAAGGAAGGACAAAAACCACATGATCATCTCCATAGATGCTGAAAAAGCATTTGACAAAATTCAACATCCATTCATGATAAAAACTCTCAACAAAATGGGCACAGAGGGCAAGTACCTCAATATAATAAAAGCCATATATGATAAACCCACAGCCAACATCATACTGAACAGCGAGAAGCTGAAAGCTTTTCCTCTGAGATCGGGTACAAGACAGGGATGCCCACTCTCCCCACTATTATTCAACATAGTACTGGAGGACCTTGCCATGGAAATTAGACAAAACAAAGAAATACAAGGAATCCAGATTGGTAAAGAAGAAGTCAAGCTGTCACTATTTGCAGATGACATGATATTGTACATAAAAAAACCCTAAAGAATCCACTCCAAAACTACTAGAACTAATATCTGAATTCAGCAAAGTTGCAGGATACAAAATTAACACACAGAAATCTGTGGCTTTCCTATACACTAACAATGAGCTAATAGAAAGAGAAATCAGGAGAACAACTCCATTCACAATTGCATCAAAAAGAATAAAACACCTAGGAATAAACCTAACCAAGGAAGTGAAAGACCTATACCCTGAAAACTATAAGACACTCTTAAGAGAAATTAAAGAGGTCACTAACAAATGGAAACTCATCCCATGCTCTTGGCTAGGAAGAATTAATATCGTCAAAATGATCATCCTACCCAAGGCAATATACAGATTTGATGCAATCCCTATCAAATTACCAACAGCATTCTTCAACGACCTGGAACAAGTAGTTCAAAAATTCATATGGAAACACCAACGACCCCGAATAGCCAAAGCAATCCTAAGAAGGAAGAATACAGTGGGGGGGATCTCGCTCCCCAACTTCAAGCTCTACTACAAAGCCACAGTAATCAAGACAATTTGGTACTGGCACAAGAACAGAGCCACAGACCAGTGGAACAGAATAGAGACTCCAGACATTAACCCAAACATATATGGTCAATTAATATTAGATAAAGGAGCCATGGACATACAATGAGGAAATGACAGTCTCTTCAACAGATGGTGCTGGCAAAACTGGACAGCTATAGGTAAGAGAATGAAACTGGATCACTGTCTAACCCCATACATAAAAGTAAATTCGAAATGGATGAAAGACCTGAATCTAAGTCATGAAACCATAAAACTCTTAGAAAAAAACATAAGCAAAAATCTCTTGGACATAAACATGAGCAACTTCTTCATGAATGTATCTCCCTGGGCAAGGGAAACAAAAGCAAAAATGAACAAGTGGGACTATATCAAGGTGAAAGCTTCCGTATAGCAAAGGACACCATCAATAGAACAAAAAGATACCCTACAGTATAGGAGAATATATTCATAAATGACAGATCTGATAAAGGGTTGTCATCCAAAATATATAAAGAGCTCACCCACCTCAACAAACAAAAAGCAAATAATCCAATTAAAAAATGGGCAGAGAAGCTGAACAGACAGTTATCCAAAGAAGAAATTCAGATGGCCAACAGACACATGATTAGTTGCTCCACACCACTAGTCATCAGAGAAATGCAAATTAAAACCACAATGAGATATCACCTCACACCAGTAAGGATCACCACATCCTTAAAGACAAACAACAACAAATGTTGGCAAGGTTGCGGAGAAAGGGGAACCCTCCTACACTGCTGGTGGGAATGTAAATTAGTTCAACCACTGTGGAAAGCAGTATGGAGGTTCCTCAAAAAGCTCAAAATAGAAATACTATTTGACCCAGAAATTCCACTTCTAGGAATTTACCCTAACAATGCAGCAGCCCAGTTTGAAAAAGACAGATGCACCCCTATGTTTATCGCAGCACTATTTACAATAGCCAAGAAATGGAAGCCACCTAAGTGGCCATCAGTAGATGAATGGATAAAGAAGAGGTGGTACATATACACAATGGAATGTTATTCAGCCATAAGAAGAAAACAAATCCTACCATTTGTAACAACATGGATGGAGCTAGAGGGTATTATATTCAGTGAAATAAGCCAGGTGGAGAAAGACAAGTATCAAATGATTTTACTCATATGCGGAGTATAAGAACAAAGAAAAACTGAAGGAACAAAACAGCATCAGAATCACAGAACCCAAGAATGGACTAACAGTTACCAAAGGGAAAGGGACTGGGGAGGATGGATGGGAAGGGAGGGATAAGGGCAGGGAAAAAGAAAGGGGGCATTACGATTAGCATGTATAATGTGGGGTGTGGCATGGGGAGGGCTGTACAACACAGAAGACAAGTAGTGATTCTACAGCATCTTACTACGCTGATGGACAGTGACTAAATTGGGGTTTGTGGGGGGGACTTGGTGAAGCGGGGAGGGAGCCTAGTAAACATAATATTCTGCATGTAATTTTACATTAATGATAACAAAAAAACACACAAAAAAAGTCAAGCAAATAAAACAGAGGAAAAAGTTTCAGCAAAAGAATAACATAAAAACTCAGGAAAAAGCCTTAATGAACTGGAGATAAGTAATTTAACTGATAGAGAGTTCCAAGTAATGGTTGTAAAGATATTCACATAATTCAGGAGAAAAAATGGATGAACACAGTGAGAACTTCAACAAAGAGAAAATGTAAGGAAGTTCCAAATGTAAGTCGCAGCTGAAGAAACATTAACTGAACTGAAACCTAAGCTAAAGGGGTTCAAGAGCAGACTAGATGAAACAGAAGATCAGTTAACTTGAAGACAGGGCAGTGGAATTCACGCAGTCAGAGCAGCAAAAAGAAAAAAGAATTAAAAACAGTGAAGATAGCTTAAGGGATTTATAGGACAACATCAAGTGGATTAACATTTGTATTACAGAGGCCCCTTAAGAAGATAAAAGGGCAGAAAACCCGCTTGAAGAAATAATGGCTGAAAGCTTCTCCAACTTGGGGAAATAAACAAATATCCAGATCCAGGAAGCTCACAGAGTTCCAAATAGATGAACCAAAGAGAACCACACCAAGATACGTATAATTAAAATGTCAAAAGTAAAAGACAAGGAGAGAACCTTAAAAGCAGCAAGAGAAAAACAACTTATATACTAGAGAACCCCCATAAGACCATCAGCAGATTTTTCAGTAAAACTTCGCAGACCAGAAGGGAGTGACACGATATACTCAAAGTGCTGAAAGAAAAAAAATATTCCAACCAAGAATACTCTGCCCAACAATATTATCATTCATAATTAAGAAGAGAGAGAGTTTTCCAGACAAGCAATAGCTAAAGGGGTTTATTACCTCTAAACTAGCCTTGTAAGAAATGTTAAAGAGGATACTTTTAGAAATGTTAAAGGTCACTATAACAAGAAAACATATGAAAGCATAAATCTTACTGGCAAAGGTAA